GGGGCAGGCAGGCCCAGCTGCTGGGATCCAGTTTGCAACACGTGTTGTTTGTGCTCTTGGTGCAAAGCCTCACGTGCCCTGAGTTCTGGGCTAAGGAATTGCAGTTGTGAAATGTGACACCTTTGCATGCCCTGCTGTGTCAGTCCCAGGTGTGCCCCACAGGGTACCTGCCAGCCCTGGGCTCCCTGTACCCAGCTCTGCCTGTACCCCTGGTACCCCCTATCGTCGCTCTCCTGAGCAGAGCTTCGGGGGTCTTGCAAGGTCAGCCACCATCCATTCAGGACGAGGCTGAGCCACTCGTGTTAGCCTCGCTGGTGACCTGAATTGCACCATTTGCACGCTCATCCACCGACAGGAGATGTGGCCGTGCTGCAGGAGCGCCCCCACCCACCGCCCCCCAAATCACTGGGCATGACCGATCCATCCCAACCGTGGCAGCTGCTTCCTACCTCCCCCCTCCTGGCGGAAGGGGCTGGGCAAGTGGCATCTGTCAGCCGGTGCGGGGAGGGGAGCTGGGCCAGTAGGGGGTGGGAGATCAGGGCGAGGGATAAAAGAGGGCCTATTTTTATACTGCAAAGCAATTACCAGCGCCTTGCAATCCTTAATCTGCTCGAGCGCCCTGGTGCTATTGGCTTCTTCCCTGAGCCTGGAAAGAGCTCTGTGCAGCTCCTGTCATGTGTTGCCTGCATCAAAGCCCTGCACCCTCTTGGCTGCCTGGGCTGCCGAGGGCCTCACCCATGCTGCCCTGGGAGGAGCCCTGCCCCGGGTGACGAGCTGGGCCAGCTGCTCTGTGGCTGAGGCCTTGTCCAGTGGCGCTGGCAGCTGGCAGATGCCCTCCCGGATGTGGGTGCTCAGCTCGTGGGCAGCCCCTCTCAGCACCTTCCTGGGGGGACGTGGAGCCAGTGAGGGGGCTGGCCATTGGCGGGGTGAGCCTTCCTCGCCCTTGCTCAGCAACGTCCTTGAGCGGGACGTGGGAGTGGCAGCTGCCAGCCAGGAAGCCACTCAGTGCCAGTGGTGATGTGGGCACCCATGCACTAGGAACATGACCACAGCCCACCGGCTCTCTCCATCCAGGGGCCACCCCATGATAATGATTTTCCATCACGGCAGACCTAGTTTAGGACTTATAGCTCCTGTCCCACCCCGATGTCCTGAGCCCCCCCCAGTTCCCCTTGAGTTACTGAGGACGTGGGGGGGGGGCGCCACTGGAGTGGAACCGGTGTACTCCATGAGCACAGATGGATCTCGAATGCTCTGGGCGGATTGCTGCTGCGCACTGAGTGGAGCTTGCCAAGCCCCTCCCGTCCCAGCCTCTCCCCATCCCAGTCTTTGCTACAGAACCTGTTCTGTTGCTCTGGCAGTGTGTGAGGTTAGGCTCTGGAGCGGGAGGAATAATTACTGGTGTTTACAGTAACACTTTTCATTCCAAGAACCATTCCTAAGCGCATTATATGTACACTCAGGGGTCACGTAACCCCTCTCTGACATGCAGCCACCTCTGGGGCGGAGCACACCAGTGCTTAGCACAACAGATGAGGACAGGAAGTGGAGAAGAATCCTGCATTCAGGGTGGATAAAAATCAATGATTTTAAAAGAAAAAAATTAAAACGCAGATTTTTTTATTTAAATCGTATATTTTTGATAAAATGCTTTTTGAGGAAAAAACCTATGTAAAGATCATTTTAATTAAGATACATTATAGCTCAAAGATCATGGAATAGGGATTCTCAATTCTAATTCTATAGTGTGAGACAATATATTCATGTAATGTGTAAGAAAAGTTTTGTAAATGAGTCCCAATAGTTCATGGATTAGGGACCCAATCTTATGGGGTTCCAGGGGCTTCTGTATAGATTATTTAGGTTAATCTTTCTATCTACCCAATGGGACTCAGTGCTCAGTCTAGAAGATACCATCAGAGATGCTTAGTTTTGCAGTTCTCAAACTGTGGCTTCGTGTCTCCAGAGATAACATGCTTGTTAACAGCAAAAATGTTTTTAAATAAATAAATATATAGAGATGAGAAATAACAGACCTCAACCCTATTGTCCCTCTGCAAATTTGTGTATATAGAGTCAATCCCTTACCTCTCTCTAAAAGTGCAAAGTTTCAAAAAGTTCAGTGAATAGAAGATTGGTGGGGGCGGAATAGATCTGGACAAGGAGAAGAAGGCTGGAGATAAATGTGAGACGGGAGGGACAGGCAGTAGAAACAAAAGTGAAACTGTTTGAGCAGCATATTCCAGAAGTCTCGAGGTCTTTCTGAGTGTAGCCTTCATTGATTTGAGATCTGCCATACCATTCTCTCACTGGAAGGGAAAACCTATAATGGCAGCAGGCCGTAAAAGAGACCCAATTTGGGAATATATAAAGTGCACTTTTATGTAGAAATCCATGATTAAATCGAGTCTTCCTGACTAGTGATTTAAATCAAATCCACCCTGCCTGCACTGGGTGCAAGCTGTCCTCACTCTACTGGAGCAGCCAGGGCACCGGTGTGAAGAGAGGCATTGAGGAAGTGTCTGCGTGTGCATTTGGAAGTGCAGGACAAGTTCAGAGCATGACCTTTGTGTGCCCTGAAGAGATGAGAGGCCGAGCTAAACCTCAGACACATTGGAGGCCCAAGGGATGACTCTAATGGGCCTCACGGAAGTGCCACCCACGACCAGGGAATAAAGACTGTGTGAGCACCGGAAAGGGTTCCATTACCTGCTTCATCTTTTAAGATAATGGACGTTAGGGCCTCCGAGGGGACGGTGATGGGGAAGGATTGGGGAGCGAGTGGCTGCGGGTCACCCAGGGATTCCTGGCGGGTGGAGCAGGCCCTGCTGCGCTGATGCAGCAGCATGTCAGAGTGCCCTCCCCAGTCTTTGCTCAGCCATGAATTATTCCGGAACCCTGTGACAGTGGCTCTTGGGGGCCGCGTGGCCGCGCAGCCTCCGAAAGCTGAAGGTGACGGGTTCACCGCAGCAGAGGCAGCCGGCGACCTGTGGCAGAAAGACGGGCGCTGTGGCAGAGCGCAGGGCTTCCCCCGCGGTGCAGACTCGAGATGTTGGGAACACTGAGCGTTACAGAAAAGGCTTGGTAGTCGGTTACACCACAAGAGGGACCCGGTGCCGTTTGCTTGCTCCATGTGCTGGCACAGCTGGGGGCAGCACGGGGGAGGTGGGTGGGGTACGCTGTGGGGGAGAGGAGAATGGGGGGCATCCCACCTCCAACTATCAAGAATATATTTACCAGCATCGCTTAACTCAAGACCATTGTCCGGTTAGAAGCCTGGGAAATTGCTTTGGATGGTCAAATCTGGTGTGTGGTATTGGTAGAGGCCCTGAAAGGAGCTGTTAGCAGGGCATGTGGGTACCTGGGGAAGAATGGATGCAACTGAGCCTGAGTTGCCCTCCTGCGATGGAGCGAAGGAGAGGGAAGCAGAGAGATGTGAGCAGAGGTGCCACATGGGGTAGTCTAGTGGTGGGAGTCAGAAGTGGGACCTGTTCTCAGTGGCCTCTGGAAAGCAATTTCCTCTCTCGGTGCCTCGGTTTCCCCTCTTGTGAAAAGGGGAGAGTGATACAGATGCGTTGCTGTGTGAGAAGCATGTTGAGATGGGCTCCCTATTAGGATAGAACCCTGTCTGGCCAGGGCACAGCTGGCACACACGGATTGGGTGCACACAGCCACGCTCGGGGTGGGGAAGAAGGCACATTGCAAGCGCAGTGCAGGAAAGGGCTTGGCCGACGCTCGGTGCCTGCCGACTCCTGCAGTCGTGGGACCCCACCACCCCGGCGCTGGGTTTCAGCAGTCGTAGGACCCAGCCCCTCACACACATCCCTGAGTGAGAGAACTGCCCGCGTTGCCCTAATGCTCCAGTCCAGCCTCTGAGGCTTGGGGCATGGGTGAGTGGCAGGGTCTCTCCACTCTTTGCCATGCCTCCCATGGACACCCTGGTGGGGGCTTCTGTCCAAGTGCACCCGCTGTGGTTAGCCGTCCTGTTGGGCAAAGATGGGGTCTGTGCCCTGGGAGATCACAGAGCTCTTGCAGGCAGAAGCCGGGGATCAGTCAGTATCTCGTTGTTGCGTTGGTGCCCCCTCTCCCCTTCCTAGTAAGCCCATGGTCCCGGCCACACTCTCTTGTGATGGAGGCGGGCCCATACCCATGCCGGCAATTGAGTAGGGTGCTTGCCGCTGAGCTCTCAGCCGGGCAGTGCCCCAAGATAAAGCCGGGAGTGGGACCCCCTTTGCCGTGTGGCCACATGGCTGTGACACGGGAGGGCTCTGGGTTAGGGTTGTGCCGCAGCCTCACAGCTGCCTTGTCCTGCAAGCCACGTTCTC